GACTGCAAGAAACCAGAAGTACTTTCTGAGCCATAAAATAAAATAATATTTCCCCTAATAACATTCCATTCTAAGTGCATTTTATTATTTACTCTGCTCTGTGCAGAAGAGACTCCTGAGCACTACAAAAAAAAATCCATCCACAATTCAGTGTGTGTGTGTGTGTGTGTGTGTGTGTGAGGGGGGCGTAAATATGTAGTTAATACGAAAAATTTTGTCTTTTTTTTTTAACAGTTCGGCCTAAAGCAAGGGATTAAATTAAAACACTAGAAATGTTAGAAAGCAGCGAAAATGAATGTCCATAGGTGATTACAAATTGAATGAATTCGAGGGAAAGAAAGATCACTGTGGGCTGAAGAGCTATGGAAAGGCTCATGAACCCTGGCGACCTGAAGAAGGTCCATAAGAATAGGTGGGGTGGGGGAAGAATACTCCAGGAGAGGAACCAGAGGTTTGGAGGCTAGATCCTGAGAGTAGTTTAGGGATATGGTGAGTAGATGAGTTGATTGGAGCTGAGAAATCTGGAAAGAAGTGAATAATGGGTACATGAATGAGCGGTGACCTCCAAGACTACAGCCAACTTATGGGACAAAATAGTCTCAAATAAAGGCATGAACCTCAGGAAAATGACACCGCCCGCCTCCTCGCCCCCTTGCTCATTTGATCACTAAATCCTGACTCTTGTCTTACTCAACATGGCTCCGGTCTGTTCACGTCTCTCCATGCTCACTGCCAACACCCTAGTCTACATCACCACCTGAACTACAGTAATCACTTCTTAAATGGTCCCTCCACTTTCAACTTCTCCCTCCTCCCCAAAACAAAAAATCCATTCTCCACACAGCAACGAAAGCACCCCTTGTGTGATACAAATTTGACCAGTTAAGCCTTCATGAACTTCCATGTCTCTTAGGATAAAAACAAAAAGTATCAAGTATGAGGTGTTTCATGAGATGATGCCTCTGACCCCCTAGCCAGCTCCACTCATACAGGGCCCTGAATCCTTGTCCCAGACCTGCTTCTCCTCGATGCCTCAGGACTTTACTCCTGGATACAAGGGTCAGATTGGTACAGAAAGGCCTGGAAGGCTCATCCATCATGTCTCAACTCGAGTATCCATTCTTTAAGGGAATTTTCGCTGACCTCCTTGATATAGTCACAGCCCCACCCAGCACTGCCTTGCAGCTCTTAATAAAGGGGAAGATTCAGGCAATAATTGAATAAATATGCATGTCTGTCTCCTTAGTCTACTGTAAACTAGTCACGAATAGAAATGATAGTTAGCTTGCTCATCCTCAGCATCCAGGACAGCACTACTAGTTAGAACAAACAACAAATTCAATAAATGATTGCTGAATGAATGAATGAACGAACAAATCCCATGAAATATGATTTGGAAGCTCCAAGTACAACTGGAGTATCATTGTTTAGACATGGAGGGAAAACAATGAAAAAACTATCATGAAATAAGTTTGCCCCAGTTGATCAGTATCAAGTTATTACAAAATGTTGGTTAGACAAAAATCTCTCTATATCTTATTTACAATATCCATGTTAAATATGGACTAGCTCAAGTATATATGAAAGGGACAGTAACATTTCCTAAAGGAAAGATGGATGTTCATATCTACATCAAGTACAGCATTCACCTGCACATTAAATGAATTCCGTGGTCTCCACTGACGAGAGGTTAAAGGTTTGGGAATGTGAATTCTGCCGGTGACACTGCTGGAATGCAGCCAAAAGCAGCGAGGGTGATTGCGGAGACCTGGTTTCCACTTGCCCGCTGAGTGACCTCGGAAAGTCCCTGACCTCTTTATCAGTTTCCTAATTTACCAAAAATAGAATTAACAACATCTCCTTTATAAGATGGTGGTCAGAACTACATAAAGGGAAGCCCCTTTAAAACTGGTGATGGCTATAGAAATATAAGTTACTATTATGATAGCTGTTGTAAATATTATCATTGGCAATATTACTATTCAATTTGAAGAACTTATCATGCTTATTTTAAATCATTTGACTAGATCCACTGACTGAGATCCATTGGTGACAAATACTAGACATAAAATGAAAAAAATGTTTCATTTTCAATGTCACAGTCTTCATTTTAATTTTTTAAAGCTAATATTCTTTAGGGTTCACTTTTATAAGCACTGTGACATATTCATTTAATCCTCAAGACAATCCTATGAGGTAGATAGTGTTGTATCTCCCACTTAACAGATGAAGAAACCGAGGCACTGAAAAGTTAAGTAATTCTTGGTGTTGTACATTCTATGAGTTTGGACAAATGTATAATGTATTCATCCTTATAATATCACTAGAGGCCCGATGCACGAAATTCATGCAAGAGTAGGCCTTCGCAGCCTCGGGTGGCGGCCTGGATCCCTCCCTCACAGCCACGGTGGCTTCTTCGATCCCGAGACTGCAGCCCCGGCTTTGTCCAGAAGGACGTCTGGTCTAATTAGCATATTAGGCTTTTATTATTATAGATAAGGTATTTTTGCTGCCCTAAAAACCTTTCCTTCTCTGCCTATTCATTTTCCCCCTCCCCTAGTCTCCCACCCTCTGGCAACCACTGATGTTTTTATTGTCTCCACTGTTTTGTCTTTTCCAGAAGGTCATATTGATGAAATAATATAGTATATAGCCTTTTCAGATTGGCTTCTTTCATTTAATTATATCCACTTGAGGTTTCTTCATGTCTTTTCACAGTGCCATACTTCATTTCTTTTTTCACTGAATAATATTCTATTGTCTGGATGTGTCACAGTTTATTTATTCATTCACCCATGAAGGACATGTTAGTTGTTTGCAGGTATTGGTGACTGAATAAAGCTGCTACCAACATCCACGTAAATGTTTCCATTTTGTAAACATGTGAAAATAAACTAAGTATAAGGCATGGTGCACTTGATATGGATTATTCACATTTAGTCTTTAAAACAATCCTATGAGGCAGGTGTTAATACTAGCCCATAGTAGAGATAAAGAAACTAATTAGAGGCTAATTTGCTGTGAGCCACAGAGCGAAATTGTTGGAGCCAGGATTCAAACCCATGTATGTCTGACTCTAAAGCTTCTCTCTTGCAAACTGTGATGTACTCTCTCTGTTTTCCATTTTAAACTTATGCCATATAACAACAACTATCAGCATCATGATTATGGCATGAAATACAGACTATGAATTGAAATAATATCCAACTACTAAGGATCTCAAAATCTGAGCAAAACCTGTAAGTTCAACATTCAGCTCTTAGAAGCAGAAGCTTCATTGGCCAGAAGTTATTTCTGACTTTTCTGGAACTAATAAGGAGGCCAATGAAAAACAATCATTTCTCATTTTAGAGAGCCATTCATTTAACAAGTATTTCTAGAACCCCTGCTATGTACATGGTACTGTGATAGATATAACAAATGGTGTGAGTAAAACAAACAGGGCCTCTGCCCTCACAGAGAAAGTCCAGAGGAGGAAACAGAAAAGTAATCAGGCAACACACAGAGAATGACTGGGGAGTGAGAACGGGGCTGGAGATGGCGCAAAAAGTGGATTCCTCTGCAGGCAGTGTGAGCTACAGGTGAAATTACGATGCACGGAAGAGAATGTGGCATGTTCTGGGAACAAGATGGAACTGCCAATACAAGACCTAACTGGATTTGAATTTTTGCAGGCAGGGAAATGCCCTTATATGTTTTTTTTAGAAAGATCTGTCTAACAATAGGAATGAAAATGGATTTGAGCCCTAACGGGTTTGGCTCAGTGGACAGTGTCAGCCTGCAGCACCCAAGGGTCCCAGGTTGGATTCCGGTCAAGGGCATGTACATTGGTTGTGGGCACATACCCAGTAGGGAGTGTGCAGGAGGCAGCTGATCAATGTTTCTCTCTCATCGATGTTTCTAACTCTCTATCCCTCTCCCTTCCTCTCTGTAAAAAATCAATAAAATATATTTTTTTAAAATGGATTTGACCAGGCCAGACTGGAATCAGGGGAGTTGGATGGGTGCTGAATTTAACCAAGGAATTGGTGGAAAATGCAATACAGGGAGAATGGAGATGGTGCTGTGGGAATTGACTCGGCAGCTAGGAAGAAGGTACAGCCTTGGCAATTGCTGGCAATGCAGAAGAGGTGGTAGCGTCAAAGATGTTGCCCAGCCCTGACCGGTTTGGCTCAGTGGATAGAGCGTCCGCCTGCGGACTGAAGGGTCCCAGGTTCGATTCCCGTCAAGGCCATGTACCTTGGTTGCAGGCACATCCCCAGAAAGAGGTGTGCAGGAGGCAGCTGATCGATGTTTCTCTCTATCCCTCTCCCTCTCCCTTCCTTTCTGTAAAAAATCAATAAAATATATTAAAAAAAGATGTTGCCCAGAAGGTGGTTTTGGTAACTGAATAGGTGGTGCCCAAGACAGGAAACCCAAGGGTGAGGCAGTCTGGTGGGAGTGGGGGGAAATGGGATTTAGGGGTGCACAGGTGTGGAGTTAACTGGCAGTTGGATTCGGGGGTCTGACGCTCATACTAGGCTGGAGGTGGAAGCTTTCCAGTTATCAGCAGACCTCTGGGCCTGAGGCATGGAGGTGGAGAGGCTCACCCACGTGGAGCAGAAAAGCAGGGGGCCAGTCCGAACAGCATCATACCAGGGGAACGTATAAAAAGCACGCGCCATAAGGGTTTTATGCCTGAGTCTCCAGAGACGTGGGGGCAGAATGGAAGAGACACGCTCAGGCTCCCTGTAACCAGAATAATTACTTCCTGGAGCAAACACCGTGGGTGGCACTTTCCCACCATCCATCCGCCCATCACCAACCCATCGTCTACGAGGACGGCTCACAGGGACTCCCCTGCCCACAAGGGCGCGCACTGGCAGCCCCGGCCTCAGGTCCCGGCCTCAGGTCGACTCCCGAGGCTTCGGGATGCTCCACCTGGACCAGTGGGCACCTCCCTGGAGACGCTACTCAAACCGCGCGCGGGCCCAGGGGGACGCCCGCTCCTGCCCACTCACCGCGCTGGAGGGAGGTCCCTCCTTCTGCCAATCTCTAAATGGTCCTTCTCATCGTTTCTGCGGCTGTCACCGCTGCTCCGGATAGGAGGGCCGGCCCGCCCTCCCCCAGCCCACTCCCGGCCCCTGGAACTTCGGGGGCGCCAATACCAGCGGCACCGTTGGTTTTTTCAATCAAATCCTCCTCTAGGCCACCAACCGGCGCCGGCTGAACCAATGCCAACACTCCTTCTTCTGCCTCGCCGGGGCACCACAGCCAATCAGGAACAGCAGTGCTGTCGCGTGCCCAGCGCCAGAGCCACAGGTGACGCTGCCTCAGTGTTGCCGTAGCAACCAAAGAACGCGCAGGATCCAGCCCCAAGTCTGCAAGCTGAGGTGGTGCTGCAGCCACTTTACTCTGCTCTAGAGCTGCTCACCTGTGTATAGGTTTCCTAAACTGTGGATTTTTCTAGACTTGGTGTTCCCAACCTTTAGCATTTGAAATGAAATGGGTGTGAAAGAGCTTCATCTTAGGGTGTTTCAAGAATTGCTATGGCTAGTACTGGGGAGGATGTGGAGAAAAGGGAATCCTAGTGCACTGCTGGTGGGAACGCAGACTGGTGCAGCCATTGCGGGAAACAGTATAGAGTTTCCTCAAAAATTTAAATATGGAACTGCCATTTGATCCAGTGATCCCACTTCTAGGAATATAGCCTAAGAAACCCAAAACACCAATCAGAAAGATTCTATGCACTCCTATGTTCATAGCAGCGCAATTTATACTAGCTAAGATCTGGAAACAGCCCAAGTGCCCATCAGTAGATAAGTGGATAAAAAAAGCCGTGGTACATTTACACCATAGAACACTATGCAGCAGTAAAAAAGGACCTCTTACCCTTTAAGAGAGCATGGAGTGACCTGGAGAGTATTATGCTAAGTGAAATAAGCCAGTCAGAGAAAGACAAGTATCACATGATCTCACTCATATGTGAAATCTAATGAACAAAATAGATCCAGAGACATATAAGTATGGAACAGGCTATGGAATCTGAGGGAAGGCGGGGGTGGGTGTGTGGGTGGGAAGAGATCAACCAAAGAAGAACTTGTGTGCATATATACATAACCCATAGGGTGGTGAAGGCCCGGGGCAGGGGGTTGGGATGGGCTACAAGGGGTCAATGGAGGAAGAAAGGCGGGGAGGAGAGAGACATATGTAACACTTTCAACATTTTGAAAAAAAAAGATTGCTATGGACTAAAATTCAATCATCATCCAAAGCAAAGATTGTTTTAAAATGATCACTGCTACATGCTAAAAACCTTTTATATAGCATGAAAACCCTGCTACTCAAGTGCATTGCATGCTTCAAGCTATGAGAATATGGTGGTGTGAAAAAAAGAGTGATCTTCGATTCAAGCTATCTGTACGGTACACCTATTACTAATTTGTTTTGTAGCTTCGGGCAAGTCTCACCTTTCTGAAGATTCTTTTTAATTGCATTTGAAAAGATAGTTCACATTATGGAGCTTTAAAAAAAAAAAAAGGAATATATTGAAGTAGGTTCCACCCTGCTTCTATCACTGACTAGCTCTTCCATGTTGGGCAACTTGGGAAATTTCTTATGTTTTCATTTTACAACTCAACTGGCATGAAAAATAATGACTACCAGATGATGATGTGAAGTGTAAACAAAATGAGAGTTTTGAGAATTGGGTGCTCATTGCCAGGCACACAATGAGCACCCAATATTAACATAGTCATTACATGCGTAATGTGATGTGTGCTCATTACACCTCACATTGCAAATTCTACCTTAAATAGATGTCTTAAAATAGGAAAAATAATAGATCAGCCTACCTTACAGGGCTTTAATTCCTCAGCTATCAAAAGAGCAATTATGAATACACACTTTTTTTCATCTTCTTTTATCACAGTTTTCTCTTTTCTCTCTCTTACTAAAGCATGTGAATATCAGGAGGTAAGAAACAGAAATCACTTCCATTTCTTTTCCTCTATCCCTCCGCATGAGCGTGATATGCAGCTCTTCTAAAAATCAAAGTACAAAATAAAGACTATCCAACAACTAATTCAGTAGACTTTTATTGCTCTTTCAACTTCAATAACATCTCCAAAAAATAGTTTTCTTCTAACAATTATAAAACAAATTTAAAAGGCAGGGTCATTCACATTAGACTTGGTAGAGACTTGTACTTCATATAAATGAAAAATATCAGTTCTACGTTTTAAATGTTTAATTTACTTTGGATTTTATTACAAAAGAAAATATCACTGTAATTATAAAAGTCATAAAAATTAGAACTGTACTGTGAAATTATACCAAGCTATCAAATATTACATAAATGAACAATAAAATTCAATTTCTACTTATTTAAACATAGTAAACATTGGAAGATAACCCCCTCTACAGAAAAAAATCAAAACAAAACAAAAACTTTCAATATTAAAGCAACAAAAGAAAAGCCAAAACACAAAAACCAACCAATGCACAAAAATCTGATTTAAAAAACAACTGGGGTTTAACAATTATTCTAAGTCAAATATAGAAGTCAATATGTGCTGACAAATTAAATTTTTAAAATGATCTCTAGATGATTCCATTTCCAAATGTTTTCCTATTGATACTTATATTTTTTGAAAAGTTAAAAAAGAATCAACTTTACATTAAATTGCCAAATTTTTAATTCTGAACACTATTTTAAATTTTGAATGTCCTTAAAGTCTTTAAGTTTACTTTCTAAAAAATAAATAATTGTCGGACTAAACCAAAAGACATTTCACATATTTGTACTGCATATAACAACAATGTGATCTACATAAATAAATTTAAAACATTAAATTAAACTTTTAATTAAAATGTTGTATCAATGGCTGACGTATCTGAAATCTGAGCACTTTAAAACAGGATTCACATGTAAAATTCTTGAGCACATTCACAGAACTGATGTACATGATATAATCCTGACAAGACAGCAAGCTCTGATGTCATACCTCAGTTTCAGAAACCATTTTCTCTTTGTACAGAATTTTGAACCTGTCTTTGTAAAAGGAAAAAGAAAGCTATTATATACATACAATAAATTTTAAGTATGTGAAGAAAAAAGAAGAAATGTTTTTGGATAAAAAAAACAAAAATTAATCTTGAGTGGTAAAGAAATCTGCTTTATAAATACACACTTTAGGACATTAAAAAAATTTGTCCTACATGTTTTACAGAAGACTTGGCAAATGTGAACGTTGATACGCCACAGCTTTGTTAAACAACTTGAGAGATTTAAGATTTGATAAATCACTTATACACACACACACACGCACACGCACACACACACGCACACAAACACCATTAGAAAGATTGTGTGCTTCACTCGGCATACCTAATATTATTAGAGAATATACAGAATCATCGTTTTGTCATAATGAAATTAGTTCACTGTTTTCTCAAAAGCTGCTATTTTAGAATGAAGCAGCATTCAAAAAAAGGAAATTTCAGATGGTCAGCATCAGGATTCATTATAGTCTTTGTAAGCAGTGTCTATAAATAAATAAAATAGGGTGGAGAGAAGAATATCCTGAGGTGGCTCTGGGGCCAGGGTATTCAGTAGCACTAAGCTCCATCCTGGAAGCCAAGGCATCTAAGAAAGTGCAGAGCTGTGTCTGTGAACTTATTTCGTAAATGGAATATGTACAGGTTGAATTATTTTGCACCTTGAGGTAAATCAGTACATAGCAATTACTACTGCTCATTTCCACCTATTTAAGGCAACATTTAAGAATCAATATATGTAGTAAATTATATTTTTCACTCTCTGGCAATGAATGCTATCCATGATTGTTATTTTTCAAAAATAGTGGAATAATATAACCATATAAAACAAGCAGTTAATTACTTAAACTTGAGTTACCTTTGCTCTTCAATGGAGTAGTCGTATCAAATCATTTTATAAGTCAAGTAGTCAAAAGAAAGCAGAAACCATTATCAAATTTGAAACATACTAAAAATATTTTGAGTGCAAAGTATTTTGCAAGTCATGGTTTTTCTGGCACTGGACAATCACTATACATAATTAAATAAAATCACAGAAACACTATGATCCCAGGTAGTTTTCAGTTTAAATTTTAAAATTACATCCTATAAAATAACGCACATTTGTTAACCCTATGATGTCCAGACATAAGGAACTTATGTGAGGAAATCCTCCTATTCATGTACATCAGGGGAGTTTACAAAATACAGCAGCAAATCCTGGGGGTCTTTGGAAATGATGCTGCTGCTATGAACAAAAAGGAATCACTTCAATGGAAGCGCAAGAACAATAACAAGCACCGTGGGTAATAAATACTCTATTATCAACTGTCAATAGAGTAGAACTCTTTTTTAGGCAGTACCAAATGATGCCAGCTATATTTTCTACTTAAAAGTGGCTACATTTGCAACCTCCCATCTGAGGCATAAGTTAAATCTGTTATTTTAACTAGATCTGATAATACAGTCTCAGACGGGTAAATTACATTAGTTATTAAGTATTTTAGAATAAATTTTAAAAGCATTCCGAATTGCTAAAATATCAGTTTTGGGCATTTCTCATGATCCTCTTTATAAGATCATTCTTCATACTTTCGTACTTTAATTACAAATGATTAAAGGGAGCATTGTAATTTCATTAATATTTTCATCCTACTATTCATGTCACTATTTTAAATATTTCTGGGGCTTCTCAATATTCATTTAGCTGTCATTAAACTATCCTCTTGCCAAATTAGTTTCACAACCCCATTCATCCAGTCCTACAGGCTTAACAAGAACATTTATTTATTTCATGTGGAGCTAAGAGTAGAAAAAAGATGACTAAAAAGATTTGCTAGAAGTTAAAAGACAGCTCAGAAGATCAAAAATTAAGTAACAAGCACTAACACAAAACAGAAAGAATGCCATCAATCTGAGCTATACATAAAATTTCCAAATTCCTTTTAAAATACAAATATGGCAGTGCTTTATATAAAGATGTAAAATCTGTCAACTGCTTTCAGATAATAAACTGTAAATGCAATGAGCACCAACTATTTACATTAACAATTTACTCTATATTTGTTACCTTTTCAAATGTTTGTATATAATACATAAGCATCATATCAATTAAAATAAATAA